GTATTGGCACATCCTGATTCATTCAGGGTTCAGGGTCTGGCTTGGTTTTGTTGGGGGTGACAAACTTAATGCTTTCATTGCATTCCATTCGGCTTGAATCTGGCATCTCACATTTTCACACGCCTTACCCAAGTCATAGTGACCCACTTGCCTCTACTAGGGGGTTCGAGTTCTGGCCTACCTCGACGACTGGCTTGTGTGGGCTCCCAGCCACTCCGCGTGTCTGCTTGTCAGGAGTTTGGTTCTTTCCCAGCTCGCCGGGTTCGGGTTCTTGGTGAACTGAAGGAAGTCCCATCTGGTTTCCCCTCAGGTTTGGACTTGGCTGGGTCTTGTGTGGGACTCTCGGCCTGCTGCCTTGTCTCTTCCTCTGGCATCGTTACAGTATCCACTCAATTTAACAGCCTATATGGGGCTGAGCCCAAGTCGTTATTTACGGAGCTCCGTTATTTCCGACGTTAAGTCGGGTCGGGTAATTTTTCAAGTAACATTCAGGTAGGATATATTTTATACTGTATAACTAAAATTAAATAAAGTTCATTGTGTAATTGCATTCCAATTTAGTGCACGGCCGACGATTAAGCCAGTTGCTGGCTGCTGCATGGATGATGTGTAAACACGCTCTGATCAAGTCCAGATGGGTGGGAAAAAATTGATTCATTCCTTTGTATTGAAAAATATTTCATGTATCAATCAGCGAGTTAATATTGTCTTAATAAAATTTTAGAGATGTGTTTTGATTTACCCTGAACAGTGCAGGTAATGTATTTTTAATGTTACGACACAGGCTGTGGCGGCCATGCCATAACAATGGCGATCGAGCCTTGTCACTGAGAGCTAGCCAAGACGAAATATTTTGAGCTCACCTTTTCTCTGCTGACGATAGAATATACATTTGCAGAGACTAATATGTAGCTTTTGTTGAAAAAAAACAACTAATATCTTGTAATACTATAATAAAATTGGTAAATTGACTGACTTTTAATGTTACAACACACGCTGTGGCGGCCATGCCATAACAATGGCGATCGAGCCTTGTCACTGAGAGCTAGCCAAGACGAAATATTTTGAGCTCACCTTTTCTCTGCTGACGATAGAATATACATTTGCAGAGACTAATATGTAGCTTTTGTTGAAAAAAAACAATTAATATCTTGTAATACTATAATAAAATTGGTAAATTGACTTACTTTTAATGAAGCTGAAGATTACGAAGCTGTGAAGATTACGTCATCCTCTGCAGCGCTTGTTTTATATTGTTTATGTTGTATACAGGGTACATACTGTATGTACACTTATTTTCAGGCATATTTTAATAGAGTATCCTTCTGTTTCTTGATGTCACTTACTGTACTTTTCCCGATGTTAAACTCTGCTGCTGGTCGTGCATGAGAATATCCTTTATCAAGTTTCTTAATTAACTCCAGCTTCTGTGCAACCGTCAGGCGCTTCCTTTGGGTAACTTTTGGCATTTTGTAAATTAAAAAGATCACAATTACAGTACAGTAATATCCTTCACAATTGAAGCTAGCCGCGCGAGTTCACGGTAAACAATGGGAACACATGGCCCGGCGGAGTACATACTAGGACCGTGGGAAAAAAAATACCTAGTGCCTATACATACTATAAAAGGTATTTATTAAGAAAACAAAGACTTTTGCTTAATAAAAACTGTTTCAAAATATTTTATTAATAATAATTTACAATTTTCTTCATTAAAGTGAATCATTTTAAAAGAAAATTAAGATGTAATATATGACTCTGGAAGATCCAGGTCGGTGGCGGCCTGGTCGCCATGTGAGGGGATGCTGATGCCACAACAAACCCAATACCGACTGTCGGTAATATCGACCGCAGACCGGTATAGCAGGCTCTAGCTACTGGGCTCCCAAACCGGTCGTTAATACCAGCAGATCGGTATAAAAGAGGCCGTTAAATTGAGTGGATACTGTACTTCGGTTGCGGTCCCACCTTCTGATGTTTCTGCAGTGGTTCTGGATCACTCATTGGTTGCTCGAGCAACTGTGCAGGAGTCTGAACTTCATCGTGCTGATTTACCCGCCGGGTCAGGTTTGGCTTTGGCGGCTGCTCTGGTTCCTTTGGGGGACATTCTTTCCGCCACTCTTGCGATAATTGGGTTCAACCTCTGGGGGGCCTTGCGTCAGCTATTGGGTCGCTGGCTTTGTCTTCAGATTTTTCGGGGCTCAGTGACGTAGCGCCTACTCGAGCTCTCGCTCAATATGTTCATGGATGAGTCATCTCTCGCCTGGTGCTTTGTGACCAGTGCTCACCAGGGTCGTGGAGTCCGTCCTTCCGTCAGGCTCACAGCACAGTGCAGGAGTTTGCGGCGGTGTGGCTGTTGCTTCGGAGGGTTCATCTCTCTCGTGGCTCGACGATCCGGCTCCATTCGCACTACGCTCTGGTTCATAGCCTGAACCGAGGGGGTTCGATGACTCTTTGACCCCCCTTGACTCTTTGGGGCTGGTGGCTTTGGGTGACTTGTCTGCTGAGTTCTCGGGGTTTGGCTTTCCTGGCGGTTCACATCCAGGGGGGTTTCCAACATGCTGGTGGATGGCCTGTCCCAGTTCATTCCCCTTTCCATGGAATGGATGGTCGTTGCTGACTCATTCAGATGGCTTTGCCGGATGTACGGGCGCCTGGAAGTGAACCTCTTCGCGTCGGGGTGGTCACAGTGTCTCCCGGTATATGTGGCGCCCTTCCTTGACTACAAGGCCATTGGGGTTGATGCTTTTTGGCAGGACTGGTCGAGGTGGGGTTACCTATACCTCTTCCCACCGGTTCAGCTGTTGCTTTGGGTTTTGGCTCAGATGGAAACTTACCAGGGAAGAGTTGTTCTGTTGGTCTCCTGGTGGCCAGCTCAGCCTTGGTTTCTGGCGCTGCTTGCTCGGGATCCGAACCCTGGGAACTTTTCCCTGGCTCTGCCTCTTTCAGCAGATCGCTCCAGTCTAGTAGGTGGCTGGTTTGATCTTCTCTTATACTCTTCGCGCATGGTCTTTCTGACACCGGGTTTATCACCACTTGTGTGTTGATCAGGTGTCTTTGTTGGTGTCCCACCTACGTGTTTTGTCTCGGCAGCAGTATGAAGTCTCTTGGCGGTTCTTTCGTCACTTTTGTCTTTTCGTAGGTTGTCTTTGGTTTCAGATCGGGTTGTTTCGTCCTTTCTCTCTTGGCTGTTTCTGGACCATCATCTTAAGCTGAATACTGTTGTCTTGTATCATGCTGCACTGGTGGAGCTGCTCCTGCTCCGCTCTGTATCGCAAGCTGTCTCGCGCGTTGTTTCACCCCTGGCCTGCTCGTGTGTCACCTGAGCCTTCCTGGTCGTTGGACCAGGTGCTCTCTTTTTCTCTCTTCTCCTCGGTTTATGGTGGCCCCTTCAGTTCGGGATTGTTTTGATAAGGCTCTTTTCTTGTTGGCATTGGCCTCTGGAGGTCGTTTTGGGGAGCTTCATGCTCTCCTCCGGCACAGGATTTTCTGCTCTTTTGTTCGTTTGCAGCTGTCTCCTATTCTGACGAAGAACGAGATGGCAGATTTCAGGAGGGTTTCTTGGGTGGTTGATGCTTGGTTGGTTCAGCGGGTATTCCTCATTTTGTGTTGTGTCCGGTTCCGTTTCTTCGCCGTTATTTGTGCGCAACGGCCACCATGATCGGGAATTTGTTTTGGGTTGACCTGGTTTCCCTTCTTCCCTGTTCCAGGGCTCGGGTCTCCCAGGTTGTCTGCAGAGTTATTCGATTTAGCCAGCCTGTGGTCTATCCACATGCCCAGAGCCGGTGCGGGGGTATGGAGCCCCCTCCTCCTCCCTGGTGGGGGGGGGGAGCTGCCCAGACATGTGGTGCCACGGCGGGTGTGACGTCATGCTTGTTTTCAGATTGGGGAGTTCTGCTTAGCAGTTCGGCTTTCGGTAACAATGTTTCACCAGTTGGGGTCTGTTATTTGATGCCTACCTTTCTGGATGACTAACCCTGTCAATGACAGACATAGAATGCTTCCAACCACAGAATATAGAATGTTTCTATAAGCTATTGCTTCTCATGCCTCCCTGAGGGGGGCCAGGTTCTGGCTCATAGTCCCCAGTAGGCATTAGAACTTCATTCAAGGGACTGTTGCCACGGTCTAATACATGCATATCAATCCGGTAAGCTCCAGGGAGAATCCGGGGCACGCTCAGAAAATGGCGTTTCATTACATTCAATGCTGGTTTTTTGTATTTCATGCACTCCTGGTTATAGGACATTAAGCCTGTAGCTTGGCAGTGTAAATGTCAATTGTGTTAGAACAGATAAGTGAACATAAAAAGTAGACAAATTACATCCAGAGTATGAGTTACAGTAAATCTAAAAGACTACAGTAATCAGGATGTTAAAAGTTACTCATTAGATGTCTATAAAAGACATTATGTAATGTACCTAAATTCCAATGAGTGAAGAACACACATTCCTTATTTCAAGAAACAAGAAATTAATACAGTACCAACTAAATAAGAATCTGAATAAGACGACATCTATTCATAAATGAAAACATCAAAGATGCATATTATGGTCGTTAAGACTCGTCCAGGAGACTGAAATACCACAAGTGGTTAATTGTTAACCTCGGTTTACACCATGGAGTGTTTCAGTACATTATACGTAAGCATATGTAGAGGAGCCTTCCCTAATTTGGAGATGATACTGCTAATATTATAACATACATAAACATTCCAATACAATTAAAATTTAAATTGTCTAAATAAGTACCTTTTCTTATGCTAAATAGCAATTTACATCAAAGCATTCCTTTGTTTTTACTTGTTTGGTATTATAAACTTAGCTTTAATAACATTTAGATTTTGATTTCATGACAGCAATTTTGAAAGGTAAACAATAATAATTTTACTTCTACACTTCTCGAATGTATTGTAACATGGCATGTTTACTGTAGTACAAAAAAAATTATATAAGATGTATTGTTCAATACTTGATTGTCATCATTTAATCCTTGTCCAGATGAGAGACTCAAGGAAACCAAGACATTGACTTCAAGAGAAGATGACAAGGCTGCTACAGAGGCTCAAGGAGTGTCAGATGACAATAACAAAGATATGTCCTTAGTGCAGAAGTTCAAGCTGATGTACCAGCAGTACTGGTATGTGTTGATCCCAGTGCATCTAGTGACTTCCGTCGTCTGGTATGGATCTTTCTTCATAGCTGCTAAGAGGTAACAAAATATAATTTCATACCCAATATTGTGTGTATGTTGAATTGTAACTCATGTTCTTATTAATGCATAATGTAAGCTGTAAATAATCTCTAGATAGTTTTGGCATCTCATATTATTCAATATTAGCTCAGTAGTTGTATGCCTAAGTATTGTTGTACACCCAGCTGTCAGTAGTCTGTTGCGACTACTGAACCTCTTTTGGCTCATCTAGGCTTCCAGTTTCGACCTATGCATTTTTGTTTTTCTCCGTATGGAGAAATGTTGCACATCTGCAATATAATGTTTGACCAGGTTATTGATGCTTGGGAGATACTGTCTTTCTTATCAAGATCTCGAGCAACTCCTGGGTGATCGTAACTTGTATTGTCTATCCTCTGGGCTGATCTAGCTGAAGGTATTAAACCAGTTTCTTCAGTTGACTGCCTGTCACCTTCTTTAGGATTGCTATGTTTGAGCTTCCTGGCTCTAGGGGCTTTTATCTAATGTTCTGGTTTTATGGGGTTGGTTTCTTGGTGGCTTCTGGGTATGGTCTATGATATTGGCCCATGCTCATATTAATGTATAGGAGGTAGCATCAGTGTGGAGTGTTGTAAATGACACTTCTCTCTTATGGTTATTAACTAATTGTCAGCACTTGGGCAGTACTTCAGTAGTACTTTGACTTAATCAAGGTGGCTATTTCCAAATTCTTTTATTGCTTCTTTGGACTAAGGTGATTGCATCTCTCCTGGTTTCTCGGGCCTTATTTCTCACATTGGTTCACTTTATCGGGATGTAAAATGTTCTGGCAGACTGTCTTTCTTGTTAATGCATGAGAGGGATAGAATGGGATACTTTCGACATGCCTCAAGTGGATCTCGTTGCATCTGGGTAGAACCTATCTTCATGTTTGTGACATCATTTCTCAAATAGGGTATCTTTGTGCTGGGCATCTTTCATACCACAAATAATTGTAGGAAATGATTTATTTTCTCTGGTCTGGGTGATGTTAGTTTTCTTGATCTAAACAGCTACAGTAGTGTCAGATTGGCAGTCTTTCTGAACTCTTTGGCAACCATTTTCTAGTACAGTACAACCTCGATTCAACGTACTATATGGGACCAACCCCAGTTCGTTGGAGCGTTGGATTCGTTGCAAGAGGTGACCTTCAGGAGGCGTTTGTGTCAGTGTCTTTTTTTTTTCTTGTACACAATAAAAATGCATTATCATATTACATACTCTACCTATACCTGTATATTACTTCTCTACTAAAAAATACTGTAATTCATAAATTTACCTTATTGTTGAAGTTATGTCCATCTTGAAGTTTCGTGAAGTTGTGAATGCTCTTCAGTAAATACGTACTGCAGTGCATTATGCCGTTAGCACTGTGTTGATTAAAAGTAGTTCTGCTGTATGTTGAGTACTACAATACAGTTAATGAAAACTATTGTACACTAAAATTACTACAACTTTAATTTTAACACTGTGTACACACTTAAATTTAACACTTGTTCTAACTGTTCACGCTTCACATGATGTTTTTAGATGTGTGCATCAGCTTTGCTGGTGCTCGCTGCTGCTGTGGGTTCAGCTGCTTCTGAGCTGGTGCTGGCTGCTGTTGTACCAGTGCTGGGTACAACTGTGCTTGTGCTGGGTACGGCTGTTGTACCAGTGCTGGGTACAACTGTGCTCGTGCTGGGTACGGCTGTTCTCGTGCTGGGTGCGGCTGTTCTCGTGCTGGGTTCGGCTATTCTCGTGCTTGGTACGGCTGTTCTCTTGCTGGGTATGGCTATTCTCGTGCTGGGTACGGCTGTTCTCGTGCTGGTACGGCTGTTCTCGTGCTGGGTACGGCTGTTCTCGTGCTGGGTACAGCTATTCTCGTGTTGGGTACGGCTGTTCTCGTGCTGGCTGATTTTCTGCTGCTAGTTCTTGCAAAATATTGCTTCATTTTTGGCATTAATAAGGCACTATTAGTAAGCCCCCGAGACATTTTGTTTTATAACCAAAGAGCTGTAGTAAAAAAATGGTCAATTACACTATTATTCTTCCACCGGAGGATAAATACTGTACGTCAATCGCAGACAAAGCTAAGAGTACTGGGTGCATACTGTACGAATGCAGACTAAGTCTATACGTACACCCTTCAGTAGGCTGGTGTTTAAGCCTGATCCAGTAACATAAATTTCCCTTAACAATTCGATTTACATCAAATTATATATTTTTGGGTTATATATTTAGTTTAGCAACATTATTACGATAATAAGAGCTATAAAAAATACTTATTTTGGAACTGATTTATTAATTTTATTATTTCGAAGCCGTAGGTCACTAAACTGTGGCAACGAAATCGAACAAAACACTGCCTGGTGTTGTGTTCGATTTCCAGTAACATATATTTCTCTCAAATATTCAATTTACATCAAATTATATATTTTTGGGTTACATATTAGTTTAGCAACATTATTACGATAATAAGAGCTATAAAAAATACTTACTTTGGAACTGATTTATTAATTTTATTATTTCGAAGCCGTAGATCGCTGAACTGTGGTGACGAAATCGAACACAACAAGCATGGTGTTGTATGGACAGGGATTAGACCTGTCCACTCGTGCTGGAGTTGTGCTGCCAATAACGTGAATAATTTCTCAAATAGGAGATATCTATCTTATTAGAGTATATTTTTGGTTTTATTTAGTTTAGTTTAATTAGGATAATAAAGAGTAATTAAAACACCAGTTTTACAAATGATTTATTAATGTGAAACGTTCAAAGCCATGGGTCACTGAACTATGACAACACAGACGAAAGTGAGTGAAACCTCACTGTAAAATGAGATTTACTGTACAGTATTCCCTTATCTGTCTACCCTCACTCGTCTTGTTTCATCACAGAAAATGTATATAAGAAGATTTCAACATATTAGCTAGCTATTCACGCTTCAGCTTTTAAATTAATTTACAAAGACACGTGTGCCACAAATCGGTGAACGAAAATCATTGAAACTCAGTCGTTCACTTGTGTGGACGACTCTGGCTGGTGTTTGGTTAATATGCGTCACTTCTTGTGGACCATTCTGGCTGGTGTTTGGTTCATATGATTCACTTGTTGTGTGGTCCACTTGTGTGATCCAACTTGTTTTATGAAGGAATTATTAATTGTAATCTGTGATGGTATGGTAAAGTTTTTCTACCACTGTGAACTCTGTCCCAACATCGTAAGCTTGTGGACCGCTTGTGGACCGCTTGTGGACCGCTTGTGGACCACTTGTGGACCACATGTGCGGTCCACTTGTGTGATCGAACTTGTCATATGAAGGAATTAATAATTGTAACCTGTGATAGAATGTGAAAGTTTTCCACCAGTCTGTGAACTCTGTCTCGACGTTGTAAGCAAATCCGAACATCCCTTGCTTCGGCGAACCATTGTTCATCGAACCGGGTGAGTAAATCCGGCCTGAAAAGTGTGCGAACTAGCCGGAGATTCGTTGAATCGGGGTACGTTGAATCGAGGTTGTACTGTACTGTACATATGTTTAAATTAAAAAATATTCTTTGATATTAGTTTTAACTAATATTCACACACAAAAAAAAACTGCTGCCTTACATAGCATTTACTGCAGCTTTTGCGCCAACACTGTTGCATTACCCTTGGCCTGCCAAGGTTTTAGCTTGTCTGCAGAGCTGATACAATAATAGCTTAAAGTACTCCATATATTCAAAGTGTAAATAATATGCTAAAAGTTATATGCTTATATATAAACATATTTATATTCCATTCACCTGGGCTCTAGGAGACTCGAACCATGAACCCCTGCGTGTGTGAAGCCGAAGCTGTATCGACCGAGCTTAATAAGGAAAGTTTCCTACTGCCCAGGTGATTGGAATGTTTATTTCCACAGAAGTGTGGATGACAATTTATATGACGTGGGCGTGGATCACTAATTCCTCCGAGCTTCAGTAGTAGTAGTCGGGGAAAGTAAAAAATTCTAGTTTGGCAGCAGGATGCAGCTTCTGGAAACTTTCCTTATTATGACTACTCAATAGCTTGGTCGACAGAGCTTCAGCCTCACACACGGGGGATTTGCGGTTCAAGTTTTCTAGAGCTCAGCTGAATGGAATGTTTATTTCCATGGAAGTGTGGATGACAATTCTTTGTTTACATTATTTATAATATAAACATATATTACATATGTTATTCCCCATACTGGGTATAAAAAGTACATCTCTGGTAATAACCTGGTGCACAGGGAAGAAAGAGTGCTAAGGAAATAAGATATTCTAGTGGGTAGCAATTATTTCATACTATATACTGTATATTGTTTTGGAATATATGATTGATTATTGTATTGCTTCCTTTTAATGTAGTGCTAAAAATGAGGTAGATCCTGGTTAGAAATGAAAGTTTATTTATTTTCTTTTTTTGTTGTTCTGTGATATGATAGTTTGTTGTCTAAGCTGCTAAAACATACCTGGTTGCAACCCTAATTGTTTAAATAATGTACTGTTAAAAATTCCATTCAGTTATATTTTTAGTGCAGCTAACTATGCAGACCTGGTAAAGTCCGGAATAAAAGAGGCCAGATGGCACTAGGACTGTACATGTTTTGGCTTCCTCATAATACAACTGCTGTTTTCTAAGGAGAAGCAAAAAGTGTGTTGACCAGACCACACACTAGAAATTGAAGGGACGACGACGTTTCGGTCCGTCCTGGACCATTCTCAAGTCGATTGTGATGAGGACAGAGGACTGTTTACAGATTACTTTGTTGTATCTGTGTCCAAGTCACAGAGTTGAAATTAGTATTCAACCTGTGTGTTCTTTTAATGTTATTATATGTCCTCATCACAATCGACTTGAGAATGGTCCAGGACGGACCGAAACGTCGTCGTCCCTTCAATTTCTAGTGTGTGGTCTGGTCAACATACTTCAGCCACGTTATTGTGACTCATCGCCTGCAGCAAAAAGTGCTGTTCCTATTGTGGTGCTTTTTATTCAACAATTTTAATAATGTGTATGATGCTTACAGCGGTGTTGATATAGTTCCATTACTGGAGACGTTGGGAGCAGGAGAGAAGATCCTCTCACACTTGCAGAAGAGTGATGCTGGTTATTATGCTATTGCTTATGCCCTCTATAAAATTGCTACACCTGCAAGATATACTGTAACAATAGGTAGGTAATCATTTATTTATCTCTCAGTTTACAAATAATGTCCATGACATGGTGTGTTTAGACAGCCACTTGGCATTGAAAGTGCTGCCTTCTTAGATCCTTGTGATCATTTACTTTCTTAAAGCAAAAGCCTTTGATTATTATTATTATTTAAATATGCTACATACTCATTGATCATAATGCAAAACTGGCATAGTAGATTAAGAAAAATACTATAGTCTGAAATATGAGTTCTAAAATTTTTGCTGCACTTTTTTTCTTCTTCTGTTTAGGCGGGACGACACTCTCTATCAACTACTTAAAGAAGCGTGGCTACATAAGACCTGTTCCTTCATCTGAGAAGCTAAAGGAGATGTATGAAGGTAAAAAGGAGGAATTCATTGAAAGGAAAGAGGAAATGGTTGGGAGGTACCAGGAGAAGAAGGGGGAGATGGTCGACAAATATCAGGAGAGGAAAGAGGAAATGGTTGAGAAGTATCAGGAAAAGAAAAGTGAAATGGTACAAAGAGTATCGGTAAAGAGAGATGAATTGAAGGGAAAAGTGTCGGAGAAGAGAGACGAAATTAAAGGTAGGATAGAGGAACAAAAAGAGAAGCTTGGCAGTATACGAGATAGCATGAGGAAGAGAAGGTAAGACTGTAGAATAAATGACCTTGTGTTTTTAAGATATCTTAGAAACATTTAAATAAGTGATATTTAAGAAGTTCGTAAGAACTGTCATTCCTGGTATAAGAGTACCATACTTCATTACTTATAATTTATTCTGATATATTGCTCATGGATATCCATGCATCGCATTTCGTTAAAAAAAAAAAAACACGCTTTTTAGCTAAGGGACGATCAAGTGGTATGAGATCTGGTGCTTGATTTTGAACAAAATGCTGACTTACATTGCAAATGATAATGCTGTACTGTTTTCTGCACAGTACTCATTAAGTGGGAAGTAGGAGCAAGCTTATGAGTAAAAAATATGGGTGCACATGTGATATGTCTCAAAACTTCTGTAGCTATTGGATGGGATTTTACTAGATAAATCAAGAAGTATAATTTATTAGCTCGGGTATATTTTTGCAAGTTATTTAGGAGTAGGGGGGCTTGGTCTGAATTAGTAAGGCTGTAATAGCATAAGGGGCAATCTGTGTCTTGCAGCAACTGTAGTAAAATGTTTAGTATTTGAGTACTGTACTTATAAATGTTGTCATATATTGAAGCCTCTTGCACATTAATTTTCAATTGAATGAAAATCGGCTTAAATTCAAAATTATTTTCTCTGTTTTATTTATAAATACAAAATGCATGAAATAGTTGTATTCAATGCTATTTTTGTTAATACAATTAAATTTAAAGAAATGTAAAGAGGAAAGTGAAAACAAAGCATTAGTTTCATGTTATTCAGAGGAATGGGAATAATCCAGTTTAATTGTTCCATTACAGTAATCTACATGGGATAAACTTATTATTCAAATTTCCTACCTACAAAGTTTTTCCTTAAAATTTGGTTACCCACATACACACACTCAACCATGTATTTGTGTGAGTTACCCATATACACAAACACACACAACCATGTATTTGTGAGAGTTATCCACATACACACAACCATGTATTTGTATTTGTGTGAGCTGTGTTTTTGTATTGTGGGACTGACACACACAAAAATGCAGTTAGTATTTTATAGCTACTCTATTTGGTGTGTTTGTTTTGGGGGGAGCCCCTGCAGCTCCCCAGAACTTACTAGGCTGATATGCTAATGTCAGACTTTGGCATCAGTCGTGTGTATAGAGTTCTGTGGGCCTACCGGGGACCACGATCCATAACCTGGCCTCCTAGGAGAGACATGGGGAGCAATGGCCTATAGAAACCCCCGTGTGGTTGGAAGCATTCTGTGTTTGCCATCGACCGGGTCAGGCACCCAGAAAGGTAAGCATCCCAAAATAAACTCCTATTCTGGTGAAAATATTGCTACCAAAAGCCGAACAAGTGGATAGAACTTCCCTAAAAGAAACCAGCAAGACGTCACATGTCGCCGCACTGCTGTCTATGCAGTAAGAACCTCCCCCCTCCCCAGGAGGGGGAAAGGGGAGCCCCAGACTCCTCACGCTGGCTATCCACCCTTCGGTTCTAAGGCTGATGCTAGAGGCTGAGGTTGTGCGCTCTGGCTCTGGTGGTGGTTTCAGCACTGTACCTAGTGTGTGGTGACTGTCTTCTAAGTGGTACATGAGCCGGGAATGATTCTCCAGTACTCAGGCTAGGGTTTCCTTCCCTAGGTGCCCTGTAAGTACTGTCCTTGGGGCCTGGGGCCACCTTCCACAAGTTCCTTGGGTTCTGCCTCTGCTAGGCCGTTTACTGCTTGGTTTTCGGCCGCCCTTTGGGTGCTAGGGTGTTTTGTCTCCCTTGTTTGCCTGAGGGTAGGGGGCAGTTCGCACTGGTAGTGGCACAGGGTACTGCACAGCTTGTTTTCACCAATCATAGCGGCCAGCTCTGTTCCGCCTGGGTCCATTGTCCTCTTGCGGGGTTTTCTTTTTCTTTTTGTTTGTCTGCCTGGTGGGGGGGGGGTCTGCCTTGGTTCTTGCCCCCTGTGTACTGAGTACTCTTCCTTCTTTCGGTGGTTCCCCTTGTTAGGTCCCCGTGAGTGTACACGTCCCGAGGGTTCAGTTCTTAGAAAGTTGTTTGGTAGATTTGGACGCCAGTTAGCAGTACCCTGCCTGGGCTTCCCTGAGCATGAGTTCCGTCTCAGGACCCTGGGAATCCCCACGGTTGCTCTGGAATTTGCTTGGGAATCCCCAAGTTCGAGGGTTGCTTTGTCCCCTTGTCTCAGGGTGACTCATTGTTTTTTGCCTCCGTGTGCTGCTTGTGAGGTCGGTGGCACCTTTGGCCCGGAGCCATGCGAGTTTTGTTGCTTGTTTGTGGCTCGATTACCCAGTCTTCTGCTGACTATGCAGTTGCAGGCAGCATGAGCGTTGCATGTTGAGTTTCGGTGGTGGCAATGCGCTAGGTTGTTTGCTCCCCGGAAACCCCGAGGCTGCCCCGTTTTTGGTTGGTGTGACAGATCTTGGTGGTGTCGGTCGCTTCGGTTTTGTTCCTTCTGCGCCCCCCTTGTCTTTTCCCTGTTGTGGTCTAGTCTGGTCCCCCCCTTCCTCCCTGCATCCGGATCCTTAGCGTTTGTGGGTTCGGGGTCAGAGCTGGCTTCGATGGTCTTGAGACTTGGGCGGTCTCGGAGATTTTCCCTTCCAGGGTAGCAACTGAGGCATTCGAGCCTGTTCCTCCAGCCGTGTTGTATGGGTCTGCCAGTAGGCTCCCTTCCTTAGTACTTTTCCGGCTGCCCCAGCTGTTTCTTGTGAAGTTGGGGCTTTGGGGGTACGGCTCGGCCCCGGGGCCTGCTGTGTGGGTTCCCGGGGCTGATGAGGGGCTGACTTGGGGGGCCTTGGGCCCCATTGGGTTGCCAGATTGGGCTCCTTGTAGCCCGATTTACTTGTAGCCCGCATGAAGAGCTATGCTATGTATGTTTCGCTACTTCCTACACTTTTCGCCTGCTGTTCACAGCTGACATGTGTACTCTTGAAAAGGGAATCAATTGTTACCTACAATATTTTGTCTGGTTTTGTCACATTCATGATTTTTATTTCTTCAGCTCGCGACTTTTAGCGAATCAAATCTGGCATTCCTGCGGCTGTGCATGGGCCGTGGTAGTTTGTTCTGATGTGGGCTGTGTGCACATGTGCTGGTGTTCTGCGTCTTTCTCTCTCTGGTGCTTCGCCTCTCGCTCCTCTCATGTCTCCAGTCCGTGCGCCGTAGCTCCTGGGGGTGTTCTGGATTGCCGCTGTGGGGAGGACGCTGGGTTTTCCCTGTGTATGGGTGTGGGACGCCTCCTTCGCCTCTACCCTACTCTTCTCCTGCATGTGTGGCTTTGCCATCTTCCACTGGCGGTGCTCCCGGCATCATCTTGGCTACGTTGTGTCGTGACACGTTCGTGCCTACGTTCTGCAGGTGAGTTTATGGGGTCTGGCATCTCTTTGGGTCAGGCGCTGGTTCGTGGTTTTTGGATACAAATATACGGACTTCGGAACACAGGTGACTGCAGCAGGCCTATTGGGCCATACGGGCAGCTCCTATTCTACCCATCCAGTCCCACTCTTATGCATGTCCAGCCCATGCTTGAGTCCAGCAAGGGGCCCTACCTCCACCAGGTTACGAGGTACAGTGGTGGGGGTGTATGTTATGGGTAAATGTTCTTGTATTGGGATGTTATGAGGTGACATTTTGCTGCAGTTTTCTTACTGTGGATGCGTGTTGGGGATTGGTTGTGGCGTTTTGTTTGACCCTTCCGTGCTTCTTCCTGGCGCCTTCCTTGTTCGTCTGGGTTATGGTTGCAAGGGAGGGTCATGGCCCCGTGTTTCATGGTCTTATCGGGATCACTCATTCCTTGCCCGTCTTGCAGTGCCTGGCTTAGCCCTTCCATATATGTTGGATTCTCTGTACTTACCTAGTGTGAGAGTTTTTGACTTGATTAAGTGGGAATAAATGAAATTGGTATAAGGAATTGAGCTCGGAAAATTTCTAAGAATTTTCTTTATTCTTTAACCTTTATTCCTGTTGTGATATTCAATTAGGTCGCCTGAGGAAGGACTTGCTTACCTAACACACCAGTGAAGTAAGCAGCTCATTCCTCACTTTGGGACCAGGTATGAACAATTGACTAGGTGCGAGCAAACGCCGAGACCCCAATGAAAATTGAAATCCCCTCCACTTTGGTCGTCGACCTTTGTCAATCGCCGAAGCGAATCTAACGAGTAGGTCCTGGGCTCTCACAACAATAATTTATTGTTGTGTGGTGCCATATATTTGGTCCAAAACTCAGAATCAGTCTCAATTTTATTAGTCGAGTGTGAAGAACACTTGCATAACAATTATAATGTGTGTGGTGTAACGAAAAGACAGTGTTAACCATAACAACTTAGTTTATTCAATAAAGTACTAACTACTACAACAAAACAAAAAGAAATGTCAATGACGTTACTCGAAATCCTTCCTGTGACACTATCAATGACAGCTAGACACCAGCCCCTCGGACTGTATAATGAACTAACTCGAACATAAGCGTGAACACAGAGGAATCAACAAGAAACAAGAACTAACAGATCTATAATCACAATTACAACAAATTACACAGTGGGTTCTGAAACACGTCTCCAGTAACCTCCTAACTGTTCTACGCCTCAGTGCAGTCTACACCTACAATGGCGGTTGCAATGCAATCAAATCGGTAGTCTTTCAATGACAACAATGACTAATGGGTTCACTGGCAACTCCAGCAACCCTTCCTCAAATTAATCCTTACGTTAACACTCCGTCCCACGGACAATCAACAATCAATAACAATTGATTTACGTTAATAACAAAATAACATTTACGTTAATTTAATAACTCTCACAGCTGTCACTAGTAACGCGGAAATTACACAACACTCTACCCGTCGAGCATTCAGTGAGAAAATCCCATTAATCCCTGTACTACCAGACAGCTGATTAATCTCTTTACTAGTTACGTTAATTTACGTTAATCGATTACTAATCACTCAGCAATGGTAAACTCTAATTTACAATGTCCAGAGTGCTAAGAGAACGGTAATC